GTTCGGAAAGTTTATGATTTGACAAGTTGATGATTCCAAGTTCCTCTGTTATATCCACATTTTCAGTCGGGTCAGCATTTACACAAGGGATCCCTTGGGATTCCCGATTAGATTCCAGGTCACTGATGGTAAGAGGTAGAGATGTTGGGTTGCTTTCATGTTTAGGTTGTATCCAAAAGGTCTGCTCTTGGTGCAGCTTTTGAAGTTTTTTTTGTTTCCCATTCATGGCAAGTTTTTTTTGTGTTTGTCTTTGTAAAGTTTCCAATTCATTCTTGATTTGGTTAATGTTGGTAGGGTCCAATGATGTTAGGGTTTCAAACAAAGACTGCTTTTGTATCCTGATAGTTACCCTTTTTCCATACAGTTTGTGAATGAGGTGATTCCTTAATCTCTCACTGGTGCGTCTGCAAAGTCCTTCTGCATAAGGAGAGTTGATTGTATTTACGCAAGGATTTTTAATCCGGAGGCCTTGTGGTATGAGATTCCTCTTTTTGCATCTTGAGAGAAAGAAAATATCACTGTTGATCTGTGTTTCCTTTGTGATTAGGTTGGTTAACTGCTTCTTTATGCGGCTATATGCAGTATCTTCCATTAACCAGTATTTTGATTGATGCACAAAATAAGTTTCTAAAAATATGGGAATCCTGGCTTACCTATATCATCTCAGCCTTGAAACCATCCAGCCTGAACTACCTAAATCCTATGTACTGGGCTTAATCCTGAGTCCAAGGGGGACCCACTCCCTCTCTCTTTCCCTAAGTCCCGTTACTGAACTCACTTTCACTCCCCTCTAGTGCTCTCTGCCACCCATCTTTTATCCCTCGGGAGCTCTGTTGATTTTTCCTTTCTAAGAGTCCCCAGAGTCTTCTCTCTCTAGTTTATCCCCAGCTCCTTTCCATGGTCCTCTATGTAAGCCAGCTTTTCTAATTAATTCTTTTGGGCCCAGGATATCCCCATCTGAGACAGGGGCTAGAACCTGTAAACTTGTATTATAGTAACCTGATTTTGTACCTCTGCCATTTGTTATCTTCTTACGATACTTTAGCTCCTTGTGGGAAACTTTGTTGTTCTTGCAAAAACCCAGTAAAAATGAGTGAAATAGACATTCTACAGTAACAGTAAAATTGTTACAGAATGCACTGTATTGTTTGTAGAAAGTATCAGAATCAAACAAATGTGCTCGATATGGCCAGAATTCTATACAGTTTCAGTGAACTCCTGTTCACATTTATTACATGGTTGTTAAAGCGGAACTAAACTGTAATCGTGTATAGGCATGTCAGGTGCTTGGGCATATAATTTATTGGCCAGAATGTTAATTTATTCTGGCTACTGAAATGAAAAAATGCTCATGCGCTAAACACGCCTAGCGCTTAGGTGTAGTACCACGTTTAGGTGCATCAAGCATTTTTTCAGCCAAAACGTACCTCTCCTGAACTCACAAGTGTTTTTTTTTTTTTTCAGCTTCTAAACACCCCTGCCTCTAAAGTCTTGTAAATGCCTATGGGTCCATGGACACCTAGGTAAACATGTAGGGACATGTAGAGGCACAAAAAGAAATGTCACATGCCTGTAAAGCAGGCTTTTTATTTTTAGCTCGAGTAGGCCTTATGTTTGTAGTTGTTCCTCATAGCTGAGGTCCTTCAGCCCCCTTGTTTGCTTTTTTGCCCTTCTCTGGGCTCTCTCTGGTTCAAGCACATGTTTCGTGAGGATTGGTTATGAAAACTGGACAGCTTGTGCAAGATTTGGATGAACCAGAGTTCTGCAAAGTGGTGGAATTATAGTTTTATCTCTGAGTATTAAATACCCTTTTGAATGCATGCTAATAGTCTGTTAGTCTTACTTGCTGCAGCTTGACATTGCATGCTTTTGGGGGTGGCTCCAGACAAAATGTTTTGGGGGTGCTTAAAGTATAAGTGGGGGTGCTAATGTGGCACACATAGTGTGTCGACTGCCGCACTCTTTTCGGCATGACCAAAAAGTGGGTGTGGCCAAAGGAGGGCATGACCCAAAAGTGGGTGTTTTTTCATGGTCTATCCCATGGTCTTCAAATAGGTCCTTGAAGCGCACTTAAAAGGTTGTGGGAGTAAAATAAGCCCAAATGGGACCAGCAATGATACCCCTCAGCAAGTGTCAGGGTTAGCAACAACCCCAGCAAGTTTAAGACTAGAATGGCATAAATAATCCATGGCATGGAACAAAAGTAAAATAAACACCCAGCCTGGCACAATAATTAGCCCCAAGCACAAAACAGTAATTAACCTAGATCACAGCACAATGCTTACCCATCAGCATGGCAAAATAACATGCCTACAGCACTAAACAACAATTAACCACCAACAATGCACAATAATTAACCCCTTAGCATGACACAACAATGAACTCCCAGCAAGATAAAATACTAAACCCCAGCATGGCATAGTAACTCCCAGCACTGCAGTAAACCCCAGAATTGTGCATTATTAGCTCCCAGAACTACACAATAATTAACTCTGAACATTGAATAACAATTACCTTCCAGGTTTATAGCAGTCAGTGTGCCCTTCAGTAAGTAATGGGGCAAAGAGCAGTATGCAGTGGGCCAGTATGCAGAATATAGTGGGGCAGTGAGCAGTGTGTAGTGTGTAGTGGGGGCAGTGAGCAGTATGCAGTTGGACAGCATGCAATATATAGTGGGCAGTATGCAGTAGGGCAGTGAGCAGTATGTAGTGGGGGGCAGTATGTATTGGGGGCAGCAAGCAGTATGCAGTGGGAACAGTGAACAGTATGTAGTGGGGTTGTAGAGATAAAACAAATTCTCCTGCATTAGTTTTACCTGTTTATCGGCAGTCCTCTCTCCTCCACATCCATTCAAAGAATTGTTAGAGCTTGTCTGAACTCTCAGAAAGCGGGGGTTTAGGAGCTTAAGTTGCATTCTGCAGAGCTCAATGAGGACAGTTGATTGGAGGGAAAGGACAAACCTTCCTTCACACAGCACACACAAACAGTGCTGAGGCTGTCAATCACAGGCTGTGTGCAGGAGCTCTCTTTCCTCACTTTTTAATCTCTTGGTGTCAGGAAAACTTGTCAGAAGTGACTCGGGTAGATAGCAGAGGAACAAGGCAGCATACAGAAATTACGCTCAGGGAGGGGATAGGGGATGATTTACTAGAACTGGTGCACACAGAATCTGGTGCAGCTGTGCATAGTAACCAATCATCTTCTAGGCTTTTTGTCAAAGCTCTACTGAACAAGCTGAAGTCAGAGGCTGATTGGTTACTATGCACAGTTGCACCAGATTTTGTATGCACAAGTTACCAGAATAAAGTTTTATTAGGGGGTTTGGCACAATAACAAACAAACAGGTAAGCAAACAAGAGCTTCAATCTGTGACAGTGGTGATACAATAAAGAGTGATGAAGTGGTTGTAAAGGCAGAAGGTTTTTTTACCTTCATGCATTATATGCATGAAGGTAAACAACCTTCTTTGTGCAGTGGGGGACCCAAGAAGAGTAAGATCGGGCTGCTCTGTGCAAAACCACTGCACAGGACAGTTAAGTATGACATGTTTGTTTGTTTTTTTTTAATTGCCTTTATTATCACTTTAAGAACCATCCATGAATAGCCAGAATTAACTGTCATAGAACACATGGACATTATGGGGTTTATTTACTAAAGCTAGAGAGTCCAAAATCAGACTCCCTTCTGCATAGAAACCAATCAGCTTCTAACCTCAGCTTGTTCAATGAAGCTTTGGCAATGAAACCTGGAAGCTGATTGGTTTCTATGCAGAAGGGAGTCTGATTTTGCACTCTCCAGCTTTAGTAAATAAACCTCTATTAGTCTCCCAGCAGGTGCAGACTCATCCATTTGGACAGCAGCAGTATCCCACTAATCAGGCACCCACATGGGTTCAGCCGAAAAAAAATAAAAAAGTGATTCCAAATATTGGGAATATTAATAGGAATCCAGAGTAACATTCCTACATGTGCCACAACACTTTTATTGATTTTTTTTAGAACAAGGAAGAAGAAAAAAAAGAGAAAAGAAAAAAAAGAAAGAAAAAGGTGGAAGAAGTCCTGCGGGAAGGGCCTCAAAACGCTGGTCCTGATACTTGTGTGCACCAGTTTTAGTAAATCTCCCCCTTAGTGCTCTGGATTGAGATAAGTACACACTATAGAGGGACATGCTTTTTTCATTTTTAATGTCAAATTTTACAACCACTTTAAGGCGCTCACTCTACTTTGTCTCAAGCACCATATTACAACCAATATTTTAATGAGGAAATATAATTTATCACATGAAAGAGCTGACCATGTACAGCAAGAATGAGAATAGTATATAGTAGATAGAACACATATGTAGTCTAACTGAAATAACATTGTTTGTAAATCTAAAAATTTAAAGGGGTCTTCCAGCTACTAGCTGTTTCAAGAAGGGTTAAACACATCAGACCTCTCTGACCAACTGTGTTCAAAGAGCTCATCTTATTTCAGTAGTGAAGACACACAGTGGGTCTCCATATACATTGCTACACGGTGTCTTGAAAAGTGTAACTAAAGACAAAGCTTCTTTTTTTTTTTTGGATAGAGCAAAAAGGGATTGTCACACCTGTTGGGGTTTTATTGCTGTCTTTGCTCCCATAAAGAAGATTCACCCTCTCTATTTCTGCTGTTTGTCATTATCATCAATAGTGAAAGAAAATGAGAATCCCAAATTTTTGGTTGACAACAGGACAGTAACAAAGGGGGAATCTTCCAGTTTTGGAGGGATTTCCTCTCACTTCCTGTTTTGACTATGGGACAGGAAGTGAAGGGAAAAATTACAAGGGTTATAACCCTCCCTTAATCTATTCAAATCGACAAAAAGTTTTACTTTAGTTCTACTTTATGTTTTGAGCCTCTAGGGAAGAGTAAGAGTTGGACTCTTGGTGTATGAGAATCCCACCCCCAACACACACACCTGTTGCTAGCCTATCAACCAAAGGCAATAGTAAAAGAAAAAAGTACCATGTGACTTACCTGACATTGATATTGCTTCTTTAACAAGCTTTCTGAACTCTGTCAGAATTATTTTGGCAGAAATGTTTCCATCATCGTCTATATACTTCTCCATATGGTTTGCCTTATTGCGTTTACAGTTTAGTGTATAGTAAGCTCCACTGTTATCAAACTCTGTAAAACCAATTCTTTCATCATCAGAGATTGGTATTTTCAACATAATATCAAACTCATTTGGTTTAGAAATCTAAAAGAAAGGAAAGAATCATAAATGTTTTCATTATTTACATTATTTGACTACAAGCAAGGAGCATTAATTAAGTTTTCAAATTATGTTTCCTAATTGTACAGTTCAGGACACATCCTTCTTTAACAATGGGTTGTATGTAGCCATTTTCATGTGATTGGACACTGGAAGGTAATAGGCCGCAGGGACATTACCCTTATAACCCTCCTGCTCTCAGCAAGTCTCCTTTTTTTTTTTTTTGCTATTGCCCTTTTGTGATGGATGTCTTCTTCACTGGGAAATGCTTACTTCTTTTATACAGTGGTTTTGGCTTTCAATGATTCTTCTGTTCTGTTATATATTCTAAGATTCCTGACTGTTCTACAGTGATTGTGGTTCCTTTCTGTAACTTTTGCATCAGCTGATTCCTTGGCTGAGCCTTGGGGGACTGTACTGGAATGAAGATGTGGGGCCTGCCTGTAATGACACTTCAGGCACTGGATCCCCCACGTTGAGTTTGTTGTAGAGTGCTATACAGACCCAGAGCTGTGGTCTGTAAGCTGATAGAGCCCTGTCCTTGAAGACCCCATCAAGTGTATGCCCATTGAGGTGGGAAGAGAAAGGATGGGTCTTGTCTCTAACATTGTGAACCTGGAAGAAGGCAATCTGCTGTGGTGAGTGTATGCTAACAGCACCTCCTATGGGCCCAGTGAGCTGTGTTTCCATCACTGGGGTCTAATGGACCATTGGCTGTGATATTAAAAACGTGTTTTGCAGCCATGAGTAGGAGAGCCATTTCTGGAACATGTTTTTATTACTTGATGTCATTTTTCCACTGTGGTAGCTTTTTACTGCATTTTCCTGGATCACCATAGCTCTGTTTTGGCCATTTCCCATGGCTACTCATTCGCATTCCAGTCCTGGTCTAAGGAGGACAAAACGGTTCAGCATTAGGCTCCTGCAGTAAAAAAAACCACAGCAAATACCTGAACTCTGGCTGCTAAGAGTGCCTAGTACATACGGCAGTAACACTTTTTAGCCCATTAAGGCTATTCTGAGCACCTCTCTCGTGACATTGTAGCACCACACATGGCAGGTCTAAAGGCATAAAGTCCTGACCCAGGGTTGGTCAAGTCCCTCTGGGTACTTGGGATACAGCAGTTTGTGTTGACCTAGTCCCGGATAGCCACTATCCCCTACTACTATGCAGTGGGCTGTGAGTATCCTTTGTGGGTAATGTCTCACTATGTACTGTTATATGGAGCAATTGTCCCCTTCTACTCTGCAGTGGTTGTGAGTGACCCTTTTTGGTAATGTCTCACTAAATGATGTTGCTATAGCAGCCTATGGTGACTTTGTCATAGAGGACCATCAACCTTCCTGCCTCCCATTGACTTGTAATAACTCATTGTTCATAACATCTCAATATATACTGTTTTACAGCGGAACTTGGTGACCTAGTCATGCACAGTCATTAACCCCTACCGCAGTGGGTCTGTAAGTGATTTTTCTGTATATTGTTTATACAAAGCCTATGGCAACCTGCTCCCTTACGGCCATTGACCCATAATGCTTGGCAGTGGTTTGTGAGTAATTCTTATTGGTAATATCTATGTACTGTTTGTACACCAGCCTATGGTGACCTACTCATGTGAAGCCATTGTCCCTTCTGCTCTGCAGCAACTCTGTGAATACCCCTTGGTCTTTGTTCATGTCTCCCTGTATACGGTTGATACTGCACCTATAGTGACAATGTCATGTATGGCCTTTAACCAATTTGCAGTGGGATTGTGAATACTGTTTGTTTGAACTTTCTTCCTGTGCATTGTTTGTACAGTGTTCCATGGTACAACTGTCTGGAAGGCCATCATCCTTTTCTGTTTTGCAATTGGTCTGTGAGAAACCCTTGCTGGTGTCCTTGTCACAAATGCCCCTGAACTGTTCTGCAGTATCTTACTTACATAGTGTTGCATAGTGGCTGTAGTCATGCAGCTGAGTAGCATATTCTGATAATGTATCACTCATACGCTGTTGATGACCTATGTTGACCTAGTCACAACAGCCATCACCCCTCCTTCTGTGGGTCAGTGAATGCCCCTTCTGGATACAGTTGCTCTTATGTAATGTTTTGAATACTGGCCTAGGGTGTTTTAGGTATGTACAGCCTTTAACCTCTCCCTCTCTGCTATGTTCCGCACACTGCAGGTTCAGTGTCCCTTATACACTTACTGTTTTGTGTAGCAGCCTAAGATAACCTAGTGACAAAGGGCATTTACCCTTCCTGCTCTACAGGTGGTGCTTCAGTTAACCTTACAGGTACTATTTAACTTGCATAATGTTGTATGCTGGCCTGTGATGACCTATTCACGCTGGGCCATAAACCCCTTTGCTCTGCAGTTGGTCCATGAGTCTCCTTTTGATGTTGCTGACTCACTTGAAGGACATTGTACAATGGCCTTCAGCGCCCTTCATCAGTAAAGCAAAAAGCCTCTTCTTGATCCTCATGGTCAAGGAGAGCACACAGTTGTAAGGTCAGGGACGCTTCTCTTCCTATGGTGTTGTTTCCTTCTTTTACATTAACAAAGATGTCATCATACTCTCTCTGTCCTGGTCCTGTATATCTTCTGGAGGTTCCATTTGTTGTCTGAATGTGGAGTGCCCTGTTCAAATTTGCCACACAGCTGCCATTCCTTTTTGTCAGTCAGTTTGTGGGTTCAAAATTGCTGTCTGAGTCTCTCGTTATTCTTGTCCTATTGTTATGTGGGGCTGTTGATGATTGTCTGCTGTGTTGGCCATCTCTGAGTTGGACTGCTTTTGGACATACCATGGTTAATGTATACAGCATCCTATAGTGTACAGTTAAGAAAATAGGATTTTTGACTTTACTTGTAAAATCCTTTTTCATGGAGTACACTACAGAACATATGTCTCTCCCCTCTGTTCTCTATTTTCTTTCTATTGCTTGCTACAAACCTGAGGCTGGGAGTAGAAGGGGTTATGTATGTGGGAGTTGACTGTGCAGCTTAGTTTTTGCCAATGTCCAATCACATGAAGCTGTCAGCATATAATCCATGGATAAAGAATACTGTGTCCTGTACTATATGCCAACAAAAAGATTTTACAGCCAGGTCAAAAATATTATTTTCATGACCATTCTTTTTTTCTGACCCAATTCAAGTACATCCTGTAGTGCCGATAAAAAGGACATACAAATTAAGATCCATACTATGGGCCTATTCCCACGTGTGCATTGCGGTAACACACAATGCATGTGTTGGTGCACTACAGTGCCATTCATTTTGAATAGCAATCTAACTCACCACAACAATACAGCTGTGCCACAATGCACCACAATGCATGGTACATGCAATAAAATTAAAAAAATACAGCCCGCGCTAAATTTGCATGCATTTATTTTGAATACAGATTACGGTGCTGATACCAGTTTTATTTTAAAAATATTTTTTTTTAAAGATTATAGAAGATTTATGATTTATTAAACATTACATAACTACTTTGAAGTGTGTTCTTTTCCTATTTTTAAAAGTTGCCTTTCATTTTTTTTCCAAATATCTGAGACTTCTAGCAGATTTGTGGTTAAATGGCGACATCTTGTGGTTACCTTTAAGTTAATTCAGATGTCTGTTTTCCAGAGATCAGGGTACATGTACAACAACTACAAATAGGAAACAGAATTACCATAGGGATGGAATTACCCTTATGCTGTCATGGAAGCATCATGGAAAACCATTTACAGTACTAGTAACGGTAATTCATTATATTCTTTATTAGTAAGGATTTAAAAAATTATGCAAGTCAGAAAGAAAAAGATTTGTTAGGCCACCATTAAACACTTGAAAAGTTTTAAATGTAAAAATACTGTATCTCTACTACACTTAAACAGGGCTGCCCATAATTTATTTTCTTCAGTCTGTATTGCATCATGGGACAGGATGAAGTGGCTGTCTGCTGAGGTACAGTATATTTGTTATAGGAACTGCCCAGTCGCGCACATTGGATCTAAGCACTGAAAAAAAAGGAACTGTAAGCATGATTGGAGGAGAGAAAGCAGGGGATCTGCAGAAGACTGACACCCTGCGCTACGTGACAACAGCAAAGATGCTATATCCATTATGGAGTGTCATAAAATGTAATAAATAGTTCCACTGAGTACTGATTATCAACCAGTTTTGGACAGGGTGTGAAAAAGTTATGTTTTTCTTAAAGTGGTAGTAAACTTTTTTTTTATACTTTTACCTACAGGTTATAATAAGTTTATAATAAAGCTTACCTGTAGATAAAATGAATATCTCCTAAACGTGCTCCATTTACACTCCTTTTGAGAACCGGCGCAGGCACTTTGAAGGAACGGCATAACCGTGTCGTTCCTTCAGAGCTGTGTGCTGTAGACAGAGACTCCCACTTGCATGCGCAAGTAAGATCATTGCAGCTAGGCCAATTAGAAGGCCATAGCTTGCGAACCCAGAAGGAAAACCGGGTGAAGATGGAAGCCTCTGCAGTGGTGACAGCACGGAGGGCTTCGGTTTAAACTAAATTCTTCATAATGTGCTACTCTACGGTGCATACTAGCAAATTATGACATAATCTTGCAGGGGATTTTTTTTTCTTTAAGCTGCAGTTTACTACCACTTTAAATCAGTATTAAACCCAAAAAACAAAAATGTAATATATAGCTTCTTACCAATCCTTAAATATGGTTGTTGAATTATTTATTTTCCCTTAGTGATTCAGCCATAACACACACTGTCTTACACAGACTGGGGAGAGCGTTGTGTTAGATGCACTAGCAGATTTAGGTGAACTTGACTAATAAATTCCAGTAAACACTTTTTTAAGCGGTCCTTTTCAGACAAAAGGGTTTTACATAAAAAAAACTGGCCATTGTAAGCAACCCTGTCAATGTTAACCACTTCCCGCCTGGCCTATAGTAATATGACAGCCGGTGCAAGCTTCTCGTCCTGTCAGCACCTGTGATAGTGAGCCCTTGTAGATACTCAACT